CGCGCGCGTTACGCGCGCGCGCCGCGCGCATGTAACGCGCGCGCCTTATTTCGCGCGTAACGCGCGCGCGCGTAACGCGTTATAACGCGCGCGCGTAACGCGCGCGCGCGCGTAACCCGCGCGCGTAACGCGCGCGCGCGCGTTACAGTTTTTGCACCTTAGAAAGATGAAAAATTATAGCTTAATAATAGATTTAAGTACACATGCTCTACTTGAGCAAGGAAGTTTGTTAATCGAATACAACTTACTTACTTCATAACTTGATTATTTTGAAGACAAACAGAATGAAGCTTTTATTTACCAGGCCGCGTGCAAGTGCACAGGCGTCCGGGAGTTTTTTCTCTTCGGGAAGATCCGGTGCTTCCAGCTCTTCCACGACAAGTCTTGCTGACACTGGCTTCGTCACATCTTCTGCACACTCTACAACTAGAGCAAGCCCAGCATCTAATCTTGGTAAGGTAGGTGAAGATAAATTTAAACAACGGAAAAGACATGGATCTTCACAAGAGCTACATCGACAACTACACTCTCCTTGTGCAGCTTGTAGTCCACGACCTGCAGCTATCCGTCTTGAGACGAAACATCAAGATGTGCAGCACGGGCAGCACCTGTCCGACAGAACTAGAAGAACGGACAGGGGTAAAGAAAAGTCAAGATGTAGAAGAATGCGCTGCGTTCGTCATCGTCTCCGTCTCGGAGCTTCTTCTTTCCTAGTACATACGACTACTAGTACTATCTTGTTCTTGCTGTCGACTTGTTCTGGCAGAAGTGGTTTTACTCGAAGCGTAGATGATGATTTGAGGGACATTTTCTTTTTCACCGAAACTGGAACCGAAGAAAGGCATCGCTATCAAGAATTGGATCGTCGAGAACATCAAAAGGATGATCGACCACTAGTACTAGAACAAAATCAAGTTCTCCACTCGGAACGACAACGAGATTGGAACAACTACAATCGAGTCGGAGAACACGAACAAGCTGGCGGCTTCTTCTACAACCATCTCGTAAACGAACGGACGAGTAGACATGATTTAGAAGCAGATGAAGTACAACAAGGTGCCGAGAGAAATGCGCAGGGACAACGTAGGCAACAAGCAGGGCAAGGACAAGAATTATGTGGAGATGGAGCTGCTTCTGCTTCTGGACAAGAACATCACAGACAACAATATTGTATAGGACATGGCATTCCGTCTCAGTTTCGATGTGGAGAAACTCAGTTTCAAGGGCTGCAAGGGCAACAATTATATGGAGTTGAGGCTCACCAACTTCAACGCCAGGGAGAAGGCCAAGGACAACAATGTGGAGGTGGCGCTGCATCTTCAAGCTCCACTATACAACATCAAGAGGAACATTCTTCAAGGATACAACATGAAGTTGAATGGCGTCTTCGTGATCATCGGTCTGAAAGAGGAGGTGATCATGGGTTGGATCAGAATCTTACTCATGAACAGGAAGATCGTCAACCTTCTGGAAGCGGCCAACCTGCAGACGGAAGCGGTTGCGCATCCTCATCCCTATCGCCTCTACGCCGTGTCTGGGGTCGCGGAACAAACTTCCGTGAGTCTCTGCGCAGCAAAGATCGACTTCCTGCAGGCACGCCTACAAAACGTGGCCAGCAAACGTTGAGCTGCTGCAGTGCCGATTCACAAAACCACGAAGAACAAGTAAACCTCCAAGTTGGAGATCAACAGCAAGAGATCGCTTCTACAAATGAAATAAGTAGTGCTCCTGTTCCTACTGCTGATGTTGTCATGTCCCATCATTTCCCGAATTATGCTGGAGGAGGGAGTCAGAATCAGACGCTTCCTAGCCCGATAGCTAGCACGATGGTTGCTTCTGCGGAATTATATCATGCTGATACATCTGCATCGGGAACCACTTTTCTACAAGAACCTCCTCCGGGAGGACTGCCTTATACTTCTGGGACAGGAGCCGCTTCTTCATCTTCTGGACAGTTTCTCCCGCCTGCCGCTTCATCGGCCTCTACTTTAAGGTCAGCTTTTGTCCATCTTTCTCGGCATCTTGGTACCCTTTTCCCTTGTTTTCTCATGAGATACAAGGCAAAAGGGGCCAAGATGAGGGGACCGAGATGCATCCTAGCACGCGCTAACTACTCAGCCTACAACCGGTAGAAGTCTGGAGCCTACTATAGGTTTACAACGACCTGAAGAACCTCGCATAGTTCGTGCTCCACCAGGGTTGACTGTAGACGCTGACTCCACCACGCGGAATCCTGGTGCAGGAGGAGCGTCGTCTGAAAAGCCACAATACCAATATCAAAGCGTTATCTTTGTAAATGAACGAGGACAACGCGTCGTGCCTTTGCCTTGTTCTTCCGCTTTTTGCACCAACAATGTCACAAGCGACGGAGGATGTCAGACGCAAGCTGCCTCACCAGCCTCTTCTTCACCGATCATGATGAATCACAATCAAGGTTGTAGTACTACGCCAGGTCTTTGTTCTGCAACATCGGGTGGTCAAGCCTACGCACCACGCTTGAATCAAAGAACGCGCATCTTCACACCGACACCACCGCTTCCTCCGGGTCTCTTTCCGCAATCGCAAGCTTCTACAACTAGACCTGAGGATCCCACACCCACACCCACTACAACATGCACCTCCTTCACTGTTCCGCATTCCCCTAACTACCCCACGAGTACAGCTTGCCGTGGAAGAGTTGCTCTAGGTCTTGCACCGGAACCGCAGTCACGACCACCTTCTCCTAGTACGTCCTCGTCGAAGATGGCTCAAACACAACATCAGAATCAACGTGAGATTATTAACGTATCTTCACAAGCGGCGCAACCTCCCTCTCGTCCTCCTGGCAATTTCCATGTATCGCAACGTCACGTGGAGACACGGTTTCTCAACTGTTCCAGTATGCAGACTTTTCGGACTGTTCACCGCGATGCTCGAACGACACCTAGTACTAAATTCATCTTGTGGCTTCGGTAATTTCATCAATGTGTGCTAATTATAAAATATGGTCGTTATATATAGTTTTTCTGGAGGAGACTCTGACTCCTAGGAGATGATGATGAAGAAATAGAAATATTAGTCTGTAAGCTTTATAATTCATTGCGGTAGCATTGATTTAGTACGCAAGACTAAAAATACAGTTGACCTTGACGCTCAATTTAACGCTATTAATCAAAACTATAAATACAGTCGACGCTCAGAGCAGATTCGCGAATATCTGTCCGGGTTTAAGGGACCAGTTGCGTGTCCACTCGTCCTCCCTGGATCTCCTTGACGCGTTAAATTTGGAAGCATCTCCAGGTTTTCTCGAGCGTCACAATGCCAAAGAAGCGCAGGGCGTGGCGACCGCGGCTTGTTGCCACGAGGTCTGTTATGCCTTCCCATTATCCATCTTCGGGAGCATCTCAGAAACGTTTTCAAGGGGAAAACGCTCTGAGGATGAACCTCGAGGTGGATTCGGGTGATCTCTAAGTCTGTGCTAGGAGTATGTGGATTACCGAGCAGGATTTTAAGGGTAGGCTATCACTATCCCATGTGGACTATGCTGAGTGAAATCCTCCCTGATCTGAAGGGGAAAATAGAGGGGGAAAAGGGCACTTCACTCGGCCAGGGATAGTGAGAAAATACCTCTAAGCATTGTGCTTCTCCTGCAGAAGAAATGGAAGATGATCAAAATCCGTATGACATGGTTCCCTGTGAAGGACGAAGCGGCATCCCAAGCAGGGCTTGCATTTTTATTCCTCAACATAGAACTAGAAGCACTGCTACTGCAGGTGCAGTGGGAGGCCGCGGAGTACAAAAACGTTCTTGTCAACAAATAGACGAGCAGCAACGTTCCAAAAATGGTCATGATGACTGCAGAGGCACCAGTGAGCCACAATCTGCTCCTCAACTCCTTCATTTCGACTACATCAATGCTGCTAATTTACAGCCGCGCAAGAAAAGACGCGTGCAGCATGCGGAAGCAGAACCGGAAGTGGAACCGGATGTGGATGAATTAGAGGAGCACGAACAAGGACATGTGAAGCATGAACATGAAGTAGAAACTGAAGTGCACCGCTATAGAGATGGAGCTGGTAATGTTGATGCACAACTACAACAAGATTCGCATTTTTCCGCTTGCTCAAGAACAATGGACAAACACGATCACGAACATGATCTAGATCTAGTACGACGAGTACAAAGAAGACAAGAAGATGCTGCGGACGATGACCCACTGCAAGATTTTTCCGTACAGTCTGGACTCCTCAGAGATGAAACAGAAAGAGAAGGAGATGAAGAACTTGCCAGTAAGGAAGATGTTCATGCTGATGTGGAAACTGTTCATGCTGCTCAAGAGGATGCTGTTGACCGGCGTGAAGGAGCAGCTGGTGCGAGAATTTCGCTGCCACCTACTACAAACATCAAGAAGAAGAAGAAGAAGAACATCATAACCATTCTCCTGCCACCTAGTAGAGGTCATGCTACACGGTTGCTCGATAGCTTGGGGCTAGAACTGACTCCCGCGAGGGGACCGATAAACAAGGGCGAACGTCGTCTTTTGCACGGAATTTCGAGACATCATGATAGTAAACTTGATGTAAGTAGAACTACAAATAAAGTAGAGGACGAGGAAGCCAAAGAAGAGCAAGATGTAAGTAGAACTACAAATAAAGTAGAGGACGAGGAAGCCAAAGAAGAGCAAGATGTAAGTAGAACTACAAATAAAGTAGAGGACGAGGAAGCCAAAGAAGAGCAAGATGTTCTTGAACGACCACCGGGATCCTCAAACTCCTTGAGAGAGGACAATATGCAAGACGTTCTTGAACGACCACCGGGATCCTCAAACTCCTTGAGAGAGGACAATATGCAAGACGTTCTTGAACGACCACCGGGATCCTCAAACTCCTTGAGAGAGGACAATATGCAAGACGTTCTTGAACGACCACCGGGATCCTCAAACTCCTTGAGAGAGGACAATATGCAAGACGTTCTTGAACGACCACCGGGATCCTCAAACTCCTTGAGAGAGGACAATATGCAAGACGTTCTTGAACGACCACCGGGATCCTCAAACTCCTTGAGAGAGGACAATATGCAAGACGTTCTTGAACGACCACCGGGATCCTCAAACTCCTTGAGAGAGGACAATATGCAAGACGTTCTTGAACGACCACCGGGATCCTCAAACTCCTTGAGAGAGGACAATATGCAAGACGTTCTTGAACGACCACCGGGATCCTCAAACTCCTTGAAAGTAGAGCACAAGAGTTGTACTGGGTCTGGGAAGAGTTCTTGTACTGCGTCGTTTGCAACTCCAAGAACTCCTCCTGGGAGGTCAAAAGAGCAAGAGGATGGTGCGAATACTCCATCAAGTCAAGAGATCGACAATACTGCACCTACAACATCGTCTGCAGCTGAAGACAGTAGTTCAAAGTGGAGGAAAACCAGGAGAGGCTGGAGAGGTAGAAGGAGTGGAAGAATTGCGACTACCTTAGCAGATCTTCCAGAAGATGAAGAAGATGCTGGACCAGGAGCACTCCCTTCGATGGAGAAGGGGCAACTTTTTGAAGATAGTACAACTCCTCCTCCTAGTTGTGCCCAAGACCGTCTTGACATGGGATTTTTTGAAGATAGTACAACTCCTTCATCTCCTAGTGCCCAAGACCCGTCTAGATCTACTAGTACACAGAAAACTACATTTTTAGAGGGGGAGGCCCCAAAGAAGAAAGACGCAGTAGATGAATTGACAACAGAAACTCCAGTGGGCAACAGCAACATTGACAGAGACTCTTTCTACTCTTTACTTTCCGGATCTGCAGTACCTTTTGTCACGCCTTGGCCTTCTGCTTCTTCTACATGGACTGGAGACTATAATTCGCCTGCTGCTGGTCCTGGTGGTAATACGCAAGTCATAGGACGAGTGCGATCCGATGGCTTTTCATCCGCTACTGCTGCTATCTCGCCAACAAGCAGTCCTCCGTATACGCAAAACCAAAAGGCTTACATCAATCACGTTTCTAAGTTTGGAGCAGCAGCCTGCTATAGTACTCATCAAGATCTTCACGGCAACCTCCACGGGGGTAGCAAAAATGCTGCACGTGGTAGTGGTTATGTTGGTGGTGCTGCTGCTGGTACTGGTGGTGAGAGCAGTAGAAACGCTAAAGGTGGAGCATTTGCATTTTTGTCAAGCAGACAGTCAGAACTTAGCACAGTAGGAGTAGCCACGTCCTCTTGTTCTACTGGTGGAGTGTCTTCGTGCCGTACAGTAGAAAAACGACAAGACGATGAGGCACTAAATCAAGGACAAGTAGCACATTACGGACAAACAGCACAAGCGGCTCTTCACGGACATCAATCGCAAGCGCACTTTCCCGAAGTATCGCAAGCGCATCAGGGACGACCAGTAGATTCGATTACGAGGACACCATTTGACGCCATGTCCACCTGTGAAGAAAGGTTTCGGAATCAGCTGAGGAATCTGCCTAATTTCGACAAAAAAGGCAGAAAGAACCGGAGGAGGCCTGTTGCCACTTATCCGACGAGCACGAGAGAGGATGAGGACAGCAGTTTTGAAACAGTAGGGCAAGAGGATGTCTCTACGATGCGAATGGAAGAGCATCAGGAGTCCGAAAAGAGGCGCAGGAGGATTCGAGGTACTCGGCTACTAGGTCCTGCGGAACCGCTCCGGCCCGGCCTGGTTTCGTCGGCTAGCATGGACGATATGCTGTCAAAAATGACTACTAAAGATATTTTTGTGCATGACCAAGAAGAACAGCCCGTGCGACGCGAGGAACATCAAGTACCTGTACAACGCACTAAATTTACAGAGCAGGAGGAGGGTTCTCTACCTCTCCTGCTAAGTCATCATCAAGGGGCTCTGCTCGGACAGCATCAACATCTTCTACATATCAGTTGTAGTGCTGCTATTGTTCAACATCAAAGTGGCTCAGCATCTTCCTCTCAATCTCGTCCTGGCGCAGGAACTTCTCCGTCTGAGAAGAATTCTAACTCTCAAAAATGTTCAAAATCAAAGCGTCCTGGCGCAGGAACTTCTCCGTCTGGGAAGAACTCTTACTCTCAAAGGAGAAATGAAGGATCGCCGAACTACATTTCACGAGGAGCTCGTAATACGACAAGAGACCACAATGCGACTGCAACTGATTTTTCTAAGAACTCTTCAGCCGGAGACGGTGGAGCAGCAGTAGAAGCCTGTAGTAGAGAGTCTGCTACGTCTAGCAATCATCACTGTAATACGAAATCCGAGTTAGATAAACAAGGCCATCTACTTCATGATCTGGATGTTATACATGGAGCGACTCGTCGGGCGTCGACTTCGACAGCAGCTTCATCTGGTGCAGGAGGGCCTATTGAGATTGAGAGAAACATAAGGAACTGGAGTAGGAATTTTTACAAGTCGTGCCACGTCCCAACCACATCCACCGCCAGCAGCACAGCAGCTACTGGCACAGATGATTTACTATTATCCCTGGTGGAAACCAAGAACTACACAAGTACCCCTTCTCCCCAATTGCTCAGCAATCAACATGGAACTGCAACTGCTTCTGGCGACGTCGAACGTAGAAGTCTGACGAAAGGATACTTTGACGCCGCGACGATGGATGGTGGTGGAGGTGCGAATGGTGCTTGCGAAGTTTTAGCAGCTTCCGCGAAGCATGTCGAACAAGATCTGTACCCGAGTCTTTCCCAAGAAGACTTAGAAGATTTATATTCAAGCCTTTACCAAGAAGACTTAGAAGATTTGTATCCAACTTTGTACCAGCAAGAGTACGCAGACTATCCAAGAGAAAGTTTGTACGACCAAGAATCGCGGCCATGTCCGTCTTCCTCTAGCAAGGAGTTCCGTTTTTCCGAACATCCTTCCGACAAGACCGAAGAGGCACGAGAACTACCGCAAGGACTAACGCAACTACCACAACAACTACCATCAGAAGATCTACAGCATCAAGGTGGGCAACCTAGTGCTGTAACTACTAGTACTAGTTCTAATTCTAAAAGTCCTAAATTATATCGAAAACTAAGAAATAATGATAATCAGGTACGACCAGTACAAAAAGCTCATCGATCATTATACAGTAGTAGTAGTACAAGAAGAAGAAGCACGACAAGCACAACTTCCAGTGTTCCTAGTGCAGCTAGTGGCCCTTGTTCCACCCCTGCGAATACAGCTAGTTGTCCTTCTAAAGCAACCTGTACAACTTCTAGGGCTCCTTGTTCCCCTGCTCGTGACCAAGTCGATGCCATCGATAGAATCATGACATTGATTCAGAAACAGTGCGACAAGAACCAGGCGTCGCTTGAACCTGAAGTAGACGGAGCAAGAGCAGTCCCTCAGACACAGACGGGTCAAGGAAGTCCCCAAGTACCTGAAGTAGATGGAGTAAGTCCTCACACGAGTCAGACCACGGGACAAGACGGGCCTCCTGTAGGATTGGAGACAGGTCAAGGCGAAGCTCCCATCTACCCGAACGTTGAAGGAAGTCATCTTCCCGTACATTCTTTACATTTACAACATCAGCATGGCGGGAGCAACAGGAGCTCTAGCTCTACCTGTCTTCCTGGGCCTGGCATCATTGCTCAAAATGCAGGGAAGCACGACAGGCACAAGCATCGTCCTGGTCCGCCCCTGCCTCCAATTCTAACTTCTCCCAGGAGTGTAAATGCCAATGAACAACTACAACAACAGCAGCATGTGATCGCACGATCAGGACAGCAGTTGCTAGGTCAGGTTCCTAAAAATGCTGTGACTTTAGAGGAGCAACTGCAACCGCAACAGTCGCAACAACAGCAGGCTACATCTGCCAGCGCTCAGCAAGAGCCAAACGACCAGGCAGTGGATGGCAATATCAATGCAGGCCCTGCTACATCTCAGCCTACAACTGCTCCGCAACAGCATGCTTACATTTTTGTCCCGCTATTCGGTCCACCACTGCAACCAGGAGGACAACTACTGCCACAGCCGTTCATGCATTGTCCTTCTCCCATCAGTCCTACACCTACTAGTTGCGGTCCTGCGTCTCCTACAGCATGTTCGAGTAACATGGGAACTGCGCGAGTACAGCAGCAACCGTCGATGGCAGTGCCAATGCAGCCAGTTGCGGTCATGAGTACTAGTAACATGTCGATGCAGCAGCCAATGATGTCGATGCCAACAGGAGTATCGCAGACAATGCCAGTGCGAACAGGAGTGTCGCAGACAATGCCAGTGCCAACAGGAGTATCGCAGACAATGCCAGTGCGAACAGGAGTATCGGAGACTATGCCAGTGCCAACAGGAGTATCGGAGACTATGCCAGTGCCAACAGGAGTATCGCAGACAATGCCAGTGCCAACAGGAGTATCGCAGACAATGATGCAAACTGCCTCTGGTCCCATGATGCCAATGCCAACTGGCTCTTGTCCCATGATGCCGATGCCAGCTGCCTCTGGGCCCATGATGCCGATGCCAACATCGCCGAGCACTGCGATGCTGATGCCAACATCACCGTGCACTCCGACGCCATCTGCTGAAAAGACACCAATGTCCCCCACTGGGTTGCCACCACTAGTGGGACCTTACAACCGAATATCACACACGATGATGCCTTCTTCGGGAGGTGCGAGAATGCCAACATCTTCAGCAGGAACAACGGCAGGGCCAGTTGTACAAGATCAAGAACCATGTACTTCTAGCCCTTCACCAACAGCAACAGGGCATCAAGGATCAGGACGATCATCAGAGCAAGCTACCCTATTACAGGGGAGTAGACCGAGGGTCGATGCTCCTCCTGCTCCACCGACGTTACGCGCCGAAGTTTTTCTACAGCCCCTGATTCCTCCGGTCCCTCAGACGACGGCCCAGCTCTACTTACAAACCGGTATCTTTTCACCACGAAATGATCAGGAGGAGGCGTGAGGAACAAATATCTAGACCTTTCATCTCTTTGTCGCTTCTTTTAGAAGGAGAGACTCCCTAGACACGTACAGCAGATATAGAGACTTCCGAAGTTGTGTTACTTCTGTCTAGTGAAGAAGAGCCAGTGGCACAACTTCTGTCTGGTGACGAGCCGCACAAATTCTCGAACAATCTGAATCCGTTAGCAGGGACATCTTTTTTAATTTCAATGGCCGCTGCGTCAGCGTCATCTTCTTCTTCAAGAGGTAATCGAGCAGAGATACCGCCACCACCAGGACTGACGCTTACTCAAAATCAACAGGGAAGTTCTTCTGCTAGCGCGACCATAACTTCTAGCGCTGCAGCTGCCATTGGAATTCAAACTTGTGGTGCTGTAGGAGACGCAGTAAATTATAAATCTTCAGCGCAGTATAGTAGACAGAAATTTAGGTGGTGTAAAATTTTTTATAATCATCAGTGATAGAAGAATCGAGAGGACGAGGAGGACCTTGTTCCACGTCGCTATCTTCGGATCGTCGGCGGGAGGGCGGGTGGAGTTCAGTTAAGTACAAGTAGCAGCTTAGATATTACTTGAAAGAACTTGCATTGGGAATTTGTCACCAAGGTTCGCATCTTCACCAATTTTCCTATTTAAGTTAAAGTTTACTGTGTGGTCACCTCAAGTGGTGCATACTGTTATTGTGGGTCGTTAAATGCGTCATATTCATCGGCTGCGTGCTAGCTAGTTAATTTGAAGTTTGACGGTGTCATTAATTCAAATGAACGACCTACCACTCTTTCAACACTCTCTAGGCCCTGCCGTAGCCACTTTCGCCAGAGTCATCGCGTCGTGGATGGTCGTAGACGTGTCTTGGATGGCCGTGGTTCTCATATTTCAGACCCCCCAAGGTCCCGGTTGTGATCATAAAAAATCGTGCTAGGTAGTTAATTTGAATTTGTTTGGCATGCTGATCATTTTGTCGTCGTCATAAGAACGGAAAGTCGCTCCGCTTCTGCACGCCAGCGAGTGACGTTATACTCTAAGCATCCAAAAAACTACGGGTTTTCAACCCTTGGTACCTACGACCCTACATTAAAAAATTTTAGTTGACTCCCATAGCTGCTATGATGGGCCGCGACGACATGACTTGCCGGTCGCGTCGTGAATTCCTCTTGGGCGCCGCCTCTTTAGCGCTATCTTCGCAGAAAAAACTAATCGAAAACATAAAATATGCGAGTAACAAACACGATAACCGAGTATCTGTGATTAAGTTATCATCTTCTAGGCTACTCGGTTATTCCAACATTTTAGGAACAGATAAGAAGGAGACGGAGACGTATTACAAAGCATAGACATGATCATGGTTTGATTTTTTTTGCAAAAATTCTAATTTTTTGCGTTTCTAATACAGTAGTGGAGGTGCGTGGTAGGTTGCGTATACTTATCTAATTATTTTTGTCAATTTTTAGAGATGCTACACCCCATAAGTGGGCACATCACATGAGTCAATCAATATCAGACTACAGGTGACTTGTTGCTGAGAGCAGTAAACCATGATCCAAGAGGTTGCAGACTCCTGTGGCGCAGGTCGCACACTACCCGTGGCAGGATGCCTCTGTACGCCTTTTGAGGGATAATTTTGAGATTGTAAACTACTTACTGATACTTAGATGATCAGCATTGAAAGAATGAAGGAGCAGGTAACGGTAAGTTTCATCTGAGGTGCAACTTCGACATCATCTTTGTTATCTAGGATGGATTAAGTAGCTAGATTAATAGGATGGATTAAGTAGAAGTTGTATTGAAAAAAAAGCGTATTGAAAACAGTTAGTTCATAAAGACCACAATTTTTATGGACCACGATGAATGCTCTGAACATTTTAATGATAATGTAGTGCAGTTGTTGAATGAACAAAACAGTGTGTAGGTTCCTTCGATGACAGGTCTTCCCTTCACTACAAATAAAGGAATCTCTGAGTTTCCTGAAATTTTCTAGATCTAAATGGTTGAAGTTCAAGGTTCTTGAAAATATTGCAATTTCGAATGATTTTTATCGACCATTTAAAGGCTGCACATGAGACAATCAATCAATGCAGGCCGCTTATGATTACGATCATTAAGTGTGGTCTTGTGTTAAGAAGATGAAGAAATCTGTTAATTGTTATGCAGCCTGATGAAACTTGTAGTTGGCTTGTTATACACACGTGAGTGAGTGTGAAAGTCACTCTTTGGATTTTACTAGGAGTTTGCAGAAAGGGGAGGTGGTGCAACTTCCCTTGAACAAGGTCACGACTTATTAATCATAGGGTTAGTAGCTCACACTCGCATCCTATTTACTAGGACTTTGTAAAGCTCAAGCTTCGTGGCCAGATTCTCCTAGTCCATGCCGATGATATGGTACATTTTTTTTTGGGTACGCTTCTCGTGCAACATCTTCTCGACGATGAATATTCATGCTGCACACACTACTCACCATCCATGTACTACACGGTATGCATGCACACGGTACTACTTGTGGTAGGACTTCTGCATGTGGTGAAAAGCACCAAGTGTTCGATCCAACAGTCTGCAAAGTCGTACAATCATTTCCTCCTGCAAATTCTCCACGTGTTGTATCTTCTGCCTCGAGAAGTGTGGAGGTAAGCGTAAGAGACACAAAACCAAAAGGCGAAGTGAAAAAGTCCGGCAACAAAAATGCGAAATCTTGTGAGATTGAAAACCAAACGAGGGATTGTGTGTCTCCTTATAGACTACCTTATAGACTAAGGCGAGATTACTTAGTTGCTTCTTTTGCGCGTAGTTTTCTTTGCGTCCGTGAAGTGCATGCTTTCTTTGCGCCCACCCCAGCTGGTGCGTCGAACGATTCGAAAAATTTGTAATTTGTAATTTGTAAACCTAATGAAAGGATAGCTCTGCAGCTGCAATAGAACGTTGAAAATGGCGCTCGCGGTGTGCGGACAGGCTGCCACCTTGCATGCTGGTGGGGACGGACAGAATCAGAATGGGGGAGAGGACCATAAAATAAGTCGACTAGCGAGACTGCGCAGGCATCAAGCCAACATCCGCAAATGTGCGCAGGAACTGGGAATCAGCCTCGATAAAGACCAGTTGAGGACATCGAATGGTGCTAGTAGAAGTGGATATCGAGATGTTGTTATGAAGATTGATGCATGATCTTCTCCCGCGTTTTTCTTAACGCGCAGACCTACTCAGAATCATTTCTGCGACATCGGTCATCAATAACGGCACCGACTTTACTCAGGTCACCTGCCTCGGTGCATGTCGTCGACTTTACTCAGGTCACGTATACATCCTCAGAGTCGAGCCAGGTGCCGGGGGGCTTCGATGTGCAGGATTCACAACCTAACCTAACCTTTCTTAACGTGCAGACCTACTCAGAATCACTACTGCTGCATTACCTTCATTTACTCAGCTGCAGCACACTCGTTGTTTTATTCTGTTATGGACCCTCTAATTCTACCACTACCTCCTCTACGGCACAAGCGCCACCAGCAGAGGGATCGTCGCCTCAAGCCCAGCAAGCTTCAGCTTCTCTAGCTACGTCAAAGAACCTTTGGGAAAGCAATGGAGCAGCGATAACATCAAGTGGGACGTCGACGTCATCTGCCTCTTCGTGTTCTTTTCCACCTCCTCCAAGTGCTGATGTCCCAAAGACGTCTGGAAAAGACGCGCGGCCCCCTCTTTCCAACAACCAAAGCCTCGCGCTGTCAAAAATTGGAGACCTACCCCCAGATGAGCTGGCTCACCAACAACTTTTAAAGATGAAATACAATTACAATTAAGCCTCAACTTTCAATGGTCACCATTTAGATTGGAGTCACTGAGATCGAAGAGGCGACCCCTTCTTGAGAGAACAGGGGAAAACTAAGGGAAAGGGGGAGAGCTTTGAACGAAGGTTGCCTCTTCCGTTCAGAATCAGTGGCCACTGACTGCTGAGCTTTAATACAATGACACCTACAACAGCACTTCCTACCCCTTAGCACAACAACAAACCACTTCATCATCATCCTTCCTAGCACAACAACAACAAAACCTACTTCTACCTGAGGAGAATTCAGTCTCGACGACTTGTCCTGCATCGTCGACTTGTCCTGCATCGTCCCCGGACTCCATTTCTAGATCTCCGGACTTCCCGGAACATCTCGCAGATATAATCGGCTCCCTGAATGTCGTGAAGCGAAGTCCTAGTACAATTCCGAAAAGTCCAACCACATCTGCATTGCTGGAGAGTCGTGGTCGTCTAGCTACTTCAGCAAGCTGCTCGTCACCATGTGACATTCTCGAAGAAGATCCGGACGTGGTACTTTGGGATGATTTAACAGTGTAGCTACTTACGATCTAAGATTGTAGTGTATCTTGAGATTTAAGATTGTAGTGTATCTTTTCCTCCGGTTTTTCGAAGAACTACGCTTTTCATTTTCAAGGCAAACGCAACAGGATCATGATCTTCAACAACATCAAGCATACTTATGCAATCCAGGTGATAGAGCGTATCAAAGCGAGGCTTGGCATAGTTCGGAATTCCACCGACTACGACGTGCAATTTCCAACAGGAACTACATCAAAAAGCAGAGACGAAACTGGCGAACGAATTTCTGCAACGAGGTCGTTGTTGCCACACCACCTCCGAAAGTTGTTAGTCACTGAGGAGTCGAGCCGTTCTAGCACGTTCTTTAGCAATAGTTCTAGCTCGCCTCTGTTAACAAGACAGGAGATCAGTGATTGGAGGCGAACAGGGGAAAGTCGACCAACCGCTGTACTAGAGCAAATGAGCCAACAATTAGAAGACTGTAACGAGTGGGGTAGAGAAAAGCGTATTTCCTTGGATCGAGCACCTTTAGTTCGGAATAGTGTTTCGAATACGGCCATGCTAGCACAGGAGGCAAGGCAGGACCCTGTTTCTGACAGGTCCTCTCGAGATGCAAATTATACAAATACGGAGTCTCTACATCATGGTGTAGTACATGAGGACCAGCAGCACTGCATCCAGAAGAGCGTTGATCTCAACCGGCCGCCTCTGGATGCCGGTGTGTTCGCGGAGGTGTCTTCAAGCAAGGCATCGACTTCCGATAAGAATGCGCATAGGGACAGCAGTCCAGCGGCATCATCTACATCACCTCTCTTATGTGAACATTCAAAGCGAAGTCCCAGTGTTCGTGCGCACAGTGTTCGTGCAGGAGAAGCTTCAGTGTCTAGAAGTAGCCGACTCGGACCTGCTAGTGAGAAGAAATTCGACCATGGGCTTGTGTCGCGATCAATTGACAACATCTCTGTCTCCGATATCCAAGCTTGTCTACGCTCTTTTGACGATTTTCGCCTAGCTTCTCCACCGGATTGTTCTGCGAGAAGTACAACAGGACAACGATATAATGACGAAGATTCTTCATCTAGAGAAAAAGAAGAGCAGGCACATCCAGCACAACATCGACTAGTAGACAATACTACTGCTACTGGAAGGCACGACGAGCCACATGGACCAGAAGTACAACGAACACATTCTGAATTTGAAGCGCCTCAAGTACATGGGACGAGAGGGGAACATCACAATGATGAGGTTGTACTTCACGCGGACGATTCTATTCTAGCTGCACAACAACCGCCACAACATCAACTTCAACATCAAGATTCTGAGCTTGGAGATCTGGTTGCTGGTCTAGAGTCACCCTTTCGGAACAATCGTCAAGGTAGTTTAGATCATGACGTCCGGCGATCGTCTTTCGTTCCTTCGGTGATGGGCGCAAGCCTCTTTGAGCTTTCTGTAGACAGCTGGATCCAAGATCGACGCGGTGATCTCGCTGAAGTGGAAGAGGAGTTAGAGATGTTCCGTGGAGTCCACGAAGAAGCCAACATCAAGAACAACGAGGTGGAGAAGGTGGCCGAAGCAGGAACAACTGCGGAGGATATTAATGTTGCTCCTCCTAGTCCTCCAGGTCCAAATCAGATGGCTGCAAATCAGATGGAGGAGGAAAAGCCACGTCCTCTTCAGCTTCTTGGAGAGGAAGTGCCAGTGGTGCGGGATAAGATGAAGCAGAGTCTTGCTCCTGGTGTACAAGTAAGCTCACCTGCTTCGAGGCCATTAAGCTGCTCATCATGCAGGATCTCTCATCTTCCAGTCTTTTCCGTGGACCCTATAACGTTAGAGGAAGGGAACAATGCTGCTCAACATTGTTACCGTTCTGTTGCAGACACTAGCAGTTCAGCAATGGTGAAGATGCCCATTTCTGGAGATTCCCATGGAGACGTGGTCCAGTCTCCAGGAATGACGATTAGCGTATTAGCTCAGCCTCAGACGGCGAGCGGGAGCGATCCGTCCCTCGTTGATCTGCAGGCACTTCCCACAGACAAAGCTGCAGCTGATCTTGATGTTGACTGTACGAGCGAACACACACCACCTGTAGGAGAGGTGCCACCTAGCGTTCCATCGCGTCCTCAGAAAAAGCTGTCCACTTCAGCCCTCAGCGTCATTGACATTTCTGCAGCAACAAGTCGGTTGAGTGCCAGTCAGGGCCTGAAGGAGTGTCGCCGACCCTCACAGCTTTCACGTCAACATTGCTCAGTCGTCATTGACGTTCCTTCGGCGACTGAAGTTGAGCTGCCGAGGAAAGATCGTATAGGGGAGGAACAAGTGCAACTACCGGATAAAGCACCACAGACTATCCCCATAGCTGTGTCCTCACAGGTACCGTCAAAAGTCGAGAACAAAATCATGAAGGAACTTTCATCTGATTCTCTGGCTATTCAACAAACACCTTGTCAAACTGATCAGCGAGCAGTCCAAGCATCTTCTTCATCTTCATCCTCGAAGAAGAGTCTTCTCCTACTGCAAGATGACTATCCTGGGAATGTCGATGTTCCGCTGTCCTCTACTAGTAGTTCTAGTACGCAACGACTTAGCTTTAGCAAAAGCAACCATGCGCCAACTTTCTGTCATGAACCGAAAGATGCCATGTATCGTACTTACTTGATCTACAGAAACCAACTAGAGCGGATTCGTGCGACCCTCTCTGCTGCATCTCATGCACCGGGTCGCGCGATTCACTGAAGCAGGTGCGTAGATAGTACTAGTGAGCAGCGCAAGTGGAGAGGCGATGACACTGTGTTGATGAAATCAATAAATATTGATACTCCAATTATAATTAACGACAACTTTTTTTCGGTCTTGTCGAAGAATTTGCAGTTTTGTGTACCTACTAATATTGGCATTCACTGACTCAGTGAAGCAGTTGCGTCGAAATATGGGCTAAGAATACCCTTGTATATCATGTTGATTTCGCTTACTACAATAAATGTTCTTTGATTTTGGTATTGGTTCGATGCTGATGCTGTAGTTGAAACATTTTTCACGCTCTTGATTCCTTGATTGTTTGAAATTATGAGATTTCTATTTCCTCGAGTGTTTTTTCAGACAAACGAACAATGCGGGAAGACCTCTTTCAAAACGGTGGATAATGAATTCAGCAAAAGTATAAGGCATTTTTCTTCACCAGTATGGATACGCTTCATCGCAATACGGATACGCCGCAATCTGAGGAACTTTTAACAGAAGTTGCAAAAACAAGCGCAGCGACGTTCACGTTAATAGGAGTTCCAAGAACACGAGCAACGACGTTCATCACGTCTTGACAGATTGTGTGCGGCTCTTCACCAGTTGTAGCCTCACTTGTCCGTCTACGATTTAGGTGTGTCGTCCCAATCTAACCAAACAGGAGCAGCCATGTCAATCGATAGCGAGCGACGGAGAAACAGTGTCAACGTACGTCAGAAAAAAATTGCATGAGGCGGAAAATGGAAGTTGGAAGTTGAAAAGGTCTTCGAGTGATGGAAGACAGAGTGAGTGATCCCATGAATTCATCTGTCGTCGTCATCATCATCATCATCAGCATCATCATTCATCTGTCGTGATCATCGTTGGTTTCTCCAATTGTAGGACGGGGTTATTGCAGCGCCGGGCCATCGCTTCGGCTGACCACTACGGTCGCGAGCTTTACGGACTAGTTTTCCGTAGCCCAATTTGGGGACCGGGGTAGCGCGTTTTTTCAAATTTGGATGGGTCTGCTTCGGCTGAACACTACGGTGGCCAGCGCTACAGACCAGTTTTCCCTAGCCCAATTTAAGAATTGGGGCAGCGCGTTTTTTCAAATTTGGATGGGTCTGCTTCGGCTGAACACTACGGTGGCCAGCGCTACAGACCAGTTTTCCCTCGC